CGGGTCCCTCCGGGTCCCTCCGGGTCCCTCCGGGTCCCTCCGGGTCCTGGGAGAGTTGAGGACCCAAGGGTCCTGAAAAGCGTTTGACTGGTACGATGTGGACGTTTGACTGCCGCGTTGGGCCATGGGAGGCCAATTGAAAAGTATTCAAACATACTGTATGTCATGGGTGTGTCAAAGTGAGGCGACTTCCCATGCTGGCAGTAGAATGGGGATGAGACCCTGTAGCAAAAAACTGCACCCATGTCACCAATAAACTTACTTCTACTGAAAGAAACATTGCAACAAAACCCATGCGAACAGATGGGAAATGACACAGAGCTACCTGGGTCGATCGGAAGAAACACAGAACCAACTGGGGTTTTGCAAAAGCTGGGAGGATGAAAGGCACCAACATCGGGAGAAGATGGATCACAACCCGATGGTTGGGATTAGCCTTATGCATAAGGGATGTTCTACCAGGTTCTTGTCCAGATTGCCAGAGCTCATATGATCTCATATCGCTTCCAAGCATCTATGAAACAAAAACACATAAGATTGACATATTTAAAAGGCCATGTTTCATATATTTGACCTATATGTTGACCTCGACTCTTCTCTCTTGGTTTTTTTTCCACCCAAGCAGCTTCTCCGCAGGTGGGTCGCCACAGCAGTGTTGGGTCCAAGGAAACCGTGGACACGGAACGCCCAGAGCCCGGGAGCGGAGCTCGGGACGGATGGCGACTGTTTGGCCGGTCATGGAACGGTGACCAGGTTGAGAACAGTTTTTTTTTTGTTCCTTCAACCGACCATCTCACCAACTTACTTTTGCTGCCACTATACAAACAAAGGTTGGGGATTTGCAAGCCATTCGGCACCAAAGTTGGAGAAATGGGATGCTCAATATGGCTCAATTTACAGAACAATGAGCTCGACTTGATCATTTGAGGCTGAATTGTCAGAAGCCCAGTTGTATGATGTTGTATGTTCAAGTTAATGAAATAGAACAAAAACAAGCGCGTGGTATGTGTTCCTTTTCGGACATGTTCTCAGTTGATTGGAAAACGTCTATATACTCTTTTGAGGTTTGCAGACGAGAAGTGACAGGTCAAGGACTCACTGCTGGACTCAGAGACTCAGGGTATTTGATGAACCCAGTTAGTTATGTAATTGCTTTAAGGGAATTTCACTTCAGGGTGTGAAGAATTTGGTTAATCGTGAAAATGTCCTCCTGTTATGGTGCATCTCTGTAATCCATTGGTCTCCTACAATGCAACTACTTCTGCAGCAGCATTCTTGCCTATGATCCAGCTGGGCAAGTTCGAAACTTTGCCAAGTCCTGTTCAGTTTAAGGGCGAGCTATATACGGTCATCGAATTGGGTCGTTGACTTGTAGCGCAATCATCGAAGACCTTGCTGCAATCCTGCATTTAGTACAATTCAAGATGATGTTATAGAAACGCTCTACATCCATGTGTATAATCATAATATAATGTACTGTAATGATTCAAGGTGAATGGTTTGAATGAAATCGGTTTGCCACCTAAATGTATGGCATGTTTCGCTCCACATGGAACCGCTGGTTCCGACCGAGGGTTTGCCGGCAGAGCTTCCTTGGAGACGAGATTGTCCGCAGCCAACGAGATTGGGGAGCCGGTTTCCTGGGTCAAGAAGTTATTTAGGCCAAATGGCTGTGCCTTTCAATCAGGAGACCCAAACTCCGGTGGATTTTGTAGGGGCCTTTGGAACCGCGCAGGTTCAAAATAGAGCATTATTTTTAAAAACAATCAGAGGCATACGTATCATTCCTTCCAAAACAGGACAGCTCTTTTTGAAAGGTCACAAGTGTGGGTACCTGTTTCTCTTCTTCAACTGATCTTGTGGGATCATTGAGGTGACAGTCCTATTTAAAGCATGAGGAAGCGGCTTGATGCAGTTTGGGAGAGATCGTGGATGAGAGACTTCCGGTAAGGGTACACAGACCATTTCGAGAGGTGATGCAAACCCATGTATCCATATACAGTAATTTGTAATTATATATCCTATGATACAAGACCTATTGAGAGTTTCAAACTTCCAGCTACGAGCCTCCAACCGAAACCGATGAACATCTACCACCCACAGGATGTTTCTATTCACCCAGATTTAGTCTTCGACAAGTCATGTGCCAGGTAGATGAACGATCGAATTCCAAACGATTGTAAAGAGGCTTGGGCTGCAGAGCCATCGGGTTGATGTTGAATCTTCCCGTTGTGTGGGAGTCCATGTCCATGTCCGATACAGCTGGAAGAAGCCTGAGGGTTGAGGGGCCACACCTGATTTGGCATTCTTAAGTCTGCTGGGACTGAATAGGATAATCGACGAATCGACATGCTTGTCGGTCAAAATAGCAAGATCTTAGTTTGGTGAAGACAGACGATGTTGAAATGAGTCACCATTGACCAATTCTAGATACGCCAAGCATATTTACAGTAATATTTGCTCAGTCCCCTTGGCCATCCTTGGCCAGTTTTGTCAGGTGTCATACAACTGTATGTACAATCGAATATAGAATATACTTTGAGATATATAGTATTGTATTATAATATATATATATAATTGTATACACACACGATTATATAT